ATCAGCAATAAGTTGTTGGGAAACGGAGAACAAATATTTAACACCCAGAAAAGCTAATTTCCAACAAATGGAGATTTAAAAAGGAAGAGACGTGTATGAGTTTACTTAGGAAGGACACTCAGGCTCCTGTCTCTGAGTTTCTATTAAGAGGAGGTTTCATGCATTACAAAGCGATTTTCCCTTCCCTAGTTTATAAGCCAATTAGATAAAGACCAAGTTAATCCCTTCTTGTGTTCAGAGAGCCACAAGTAGACACCAAACACAGAGATTAGCCCGTTTGTTTAACGGCCTCCCCAGGTTTTGGCAGCCGAGCACACGGCACAGTACAGGTAAATACCAAACCCAAGCAGAACAGAGCCCTCGGCTCCACCGGCTCCGCAGAGAGGGCGGCAAGGGCTCACCACGAAGGCAACAGCCCTCCTCCCCCCCCAGCCCTGTAAAGGTGACTTTAATCCAAAGGCATCCGCTCTCAGGAGCTCGCCTGCGCTCAGAATAAGCGGAGGGCAGAGACACGTCAGTTCACGCGGAGGGAAGCGGCAGCGATGCCTGGGGGAAGCAGTGCATGGCAATGCTTTTGTCTTTTTTGGTTTTGTTACCATTTGCTTTTCCCCACTTCACCCCTCGGGGCAGAGGCCTCTCCCCGGCAGCGAGGCAGGCTGCGGCGCACAGCCCAGCCGACGGCAGCAGCGTCGCCAGCCCCAGCTCCTCGCAGGGCGGGCGACTGGCGCGCACCAGAAAGCCCAGAGCCCAGCAGGAGGGGGCAACCCCCAGCTGCAGACCCAGAACAGCGAGAGCCTCACCTTCCTATGGCGGAACTCGGCTCAACATAGTCCAGCTCCCATCTTTTGCTGCAGAACCTCCACCAACTGGCAAACCCCAACCCTCTCGTGGTCAAACACCAACCAGAAGCACACAAAACCACTGATAAATCAGGAGAGCTTAAAACTGCAGACACTCACCCGCTCCAGCTTCGCAGCCAGGTCGGGAGGAGCTACGGGCCCATCTGCTGAGGAAAGCCCTTTTCTAGCGGGGCAATCCCCAGAGCAGGAGCTGCTCCGGTCCCCGACAGACCCCTCCTCTGGCACAGCTGAGCCAAATGAGGTGCTTCAGCACAGCTGAGGTAAATTTGCAGCGGGAGCAGTGCAACCCAGCATTTGGGATGAGCTTGGGCTGGTCCTGTGACACCCCAGCACAGCAAGCTGCTCCCCGGGCCAGCAAAGTCCAGGCCAAGGCAACCAGCAAAAAAAAGATAGACTTTTCTGCTGTTCTGCCCACAAGATCCAAGAAGCACCCACCCCCTGGCCGCAGCACGCCGTATCCGCCTGAATTTGTGATCGGCTTTACAAGACCCTGTCCTCGTGGTTTAGTGAAGTTGCTGCTTCACATGCGGTTGGAATGAGAAATGGATGAACCATTCCCTCCTGAGAGTGGTTCCATGGCTCCTGGGAAGAGCTGGGAAAGGTCCCAGATCAGTTCCTCCCATTGAGAACTCACCAGTTAATACCTCTGCCCCTACCAGTTAGGGGGGTCCTGCGGGGCTCACCCCGCAGTTTGGGCAGAAAGGGAGCGGAGGGGGTTTGTGCGCAGAGCTGAAGGCACCCAGCCGCGTGTCGAGGCGGGGAGCGCAGGAGGTGGTTTCAGGGGGTGTGGGGGTTCCCACCCCAGCAGACCTTTGCATTCAGACAGCTGTGCACAGCGAGCCCTCCCTCGTTAAGCCAGACTGAGGTTCCTGTTGCAGGGAGAGCCGGCCACCGCTGCTAATTACACAACTAATACCCCTCCCTCAGGAGAGGTCACTGCCAGGGTCCCCTCCTCATCACACCCGGGAGCTGGGAAGCGGGGTTTTGGCTGGGCTCCTGCTGCCCCGGGCAGCTCTGGGTGTCCTCACAGCGGATGAGGGAGGCGGCAGCACCGGGGGAGGCTGTTTGCACGGCATTCGGTTGCTTCACTGGTTTCTCAAGCTGGCAGTCGGCGCGGTCGCAGGGTTGCTTTTTAGGAGGCTCCATCTCCACGCTGTTCCCTCGAGACAGGGGACATGGAGGAGTCAGAAGCGCTGCGCCCGTGGCGTTGGGAGCGAGGCGAGAAGGCTGCCCTCGCGTCCCCTCGGCCAGGGAGGGCTGCGCGCCAGCCTCCCGCACCCTGTCCCCTGCCAAAGCCAGCGTCAGACGCAAACCCAAACGCTTCCCCTTACCTGGGCCTGCCAGGCAGCCCCTCTGATCCCACATACATCATCGGGATCAAAGGAGCATGCTTTCACTGCGACGTTTTTTCCTTGCTGGTCTCTGTCCACCCACGTAACGAACTCTCGTGTGAAAACGGCTTTGAGGCGTCCCAGGAGATGGCATGCTCCTTCTCAGGGCTTGAAAACTGCAGCAGCTTATGGCTTTGTCTTAAAACAGATCAATCAGCAAGGGTTTTTTTGGGAAGCACCCTGTCAGCACCTGTCCCCCTCTTCAACACTCCCGAGGACCGGCCCAACAGAGCTCCCCAAAGGGGCCCCAAGCTCATTGCCTCCCCCCTTTTCCCCACCCGGGTTTCAGGGCGTAGCCGTGAAGGAGGAACCAGCCCCGACTCCGATCTAGCAGATGCTGCGCAGACACGAAAGGGGCTGAATGTCCTCCATTCCCAAAGCAGCACCGACACTGAGGCGGTGGGGAGAAAAGAGCAACAAAAGCTGTAAGATAAATTTATGCAAAAGCGAAGTGCTTGGCAGCATTTAAAACAGACCACAGGAGTCCTGACCCCGAGCGCCCCTCTCCAGCCCCAGGAAAACATCCTTTTTCCTCTTCAGGCTGGAATCTGACACAGCCATGTTTCTTTTAAATCAACATGCGAGAGTTTTGGCTGTGTTCAAGAATTCATATATCTGCTCCCATTTTCTTTGCAAATGGTCAGGAATAACCTGCCGAATACAACCAGGAAGCCACACCTTTGGAGGAAAAGCTTTAGCCCTCCAAATTGTATTGATTCAGGGATAGAAACTGTTTTTTCTGTGCTCTGCTGTTAAAGCAAAGCTTCACAAATGGCTGAACTGCTGGGCGTTGGTCCAAGCGCCTGGGCACAGAGAGCTTCCTCCTGACCTGACCCGAGTGCTCCCAGTCCACTCAGACTGCAAAAACTCGAGCCTGGGATCTGGCCACCCTGACCGATTTGTGTATTAGGAAGGACCTCCCTCCCCATTCCCCTTTCCCCCCCGAGACGATCTTTCCTTCAGGAAGAGCTGGTCGGCACCGTGAGCCCCCTGCCTCAGTCACTGCGGAGAGGGTCACAGGAACACCAAGCAACTCTGGGTACCATAATGCCCTTCCATCCGAACCATGCTTCAGCAGCAATGCAGAGCAAGTTCCCGCCAAGACCAGCAGCACTAGAGCACGGCGTGCCCACCACGGACAATGACCCGCACACAGCCACCGAGGTCTGGTCACGGCTGCATGGCACCGAGGCCGCAGGCACGCAGAAGCCCCTGACACCAGAGAGACAGAAAGCTTCTCAGGTACTGGAGCTCAGACCTCCGAGCCTCTTCCAAAATCCGCAGCAGACTGTTGGCTCCGTCCCCTCCCTCGTGAGTCACACGCCCACCTGAAACACAGCGTCCTCTGCCCGTCTGTCAGGACCAGCCGGAGCTGCGTACTGGGCTTCTGTTCCCCGGAGATGTGCAAAGGGAATGTGAGAGTACAGGCTGCAGGGACTGAGTGGAAGCTGTTCCAAAAACGACAGGAAGGGAAGTCTCTGTGCCACAGAGGTGTGGGGGGAGCCAAAGGCCAGCTCTGGAGTTTGTTTATAACCAAGTGCCTCAGCAGCTCTTTGTAAACCACCTCCTGCAACTGCCCAAGTACTCAAGTAAGTTGTAGCAAACTTACAAGTGTATCTTTGCTTACACAAATATTTTTACAATGCTTAAAAATCAACCCTGAGAAATAAGCCCTAAACATTATCCTTGAACAGAAGCTGGTCTGCCTGCCCGCCAGGACCACGCGCAGTGGCTGGCGTTGTCCCGACTGACACGGCCTTGCGCTGCTCTCCCCTGGGGTGGCACTCGGCTGCTGCACTCGACAGAACCCCGGTCTTGGTGGAGGAGAGGATCCAGTGAAGAGGAGCCCTGCAGTTTCTTCTGGCATCAGATTAATCATCCAGTTCAGCCTCCTTTTTTCTGCTAGGAACAAAAACAAGGAAGGGTCACAGACTTAAAAAAAAGTAGAAGCCAAGAAGACCAAATAACTATGTCACTTGGTGAGTAAGGGGCTCAGATACACAGGTTTTGAGATATATGGTCATAAATGGAATGACTTTGGTTCTTCTGTTGCACAGACCTCCAAACTACCTAGCCTTTGTGTGAGCTTCAGCATCTGCCACGGCAGGAAGGCGTTAGAGGGGTTAGAGATGAAGCTCCAGCACAAACAGGGGACACCCAGCCTGGCACTGCACAGGGCTACCCCACGGCCTGGCCACGCTGTGCAACTGCCACTACAAGAGCAGAGAAAGCTCCTTCTTTTACTTCTGGCTGCATGACTACAGAATAGAGGAGCTGAGCAGAGCATGATGAGTTGCACCAGCCAGGCGTCCAAAGGAATCCATAAGAGCTGCCTCAGTCAGCTAAGTAATCCTCACTAGTGCCGCTGGCAACCTTCACTCTTTCTGGTCCATCAGGACCCTCAGAGCAGAGTGGGCTGGGCGTCCTGGCACACTTCACTGGTCCCCAAGCAGCTCTTCAGGCAGGGCTACCCGCTGTCCGTCCAGCCTGGTACTGGTGTGGGTTTGAGGGAACCCAACAACACCCTCGTGAACTATGCTGAAGAGGCAGCGTAGCTGCAACACAAGGAACTCCTACGCATCAGTGGACCTGCTCTGGATTTACACCATTTAACAGAGCAGCCGCTGGCCTCCATTATGTAAGAGTGGGGGACTCTGACCCTCCCTTTGCTTTCTGGAGGCAGAAACTGGCTCCCTGCAGGGTATTTCTGTTCACCCTCGTGTCACACCTGTAGGCGTTAGCACTTTGCTTATCGCAGGCGCCGGAAACAGACCAAATCCCCAACGACCTTCCCCAGGCTAGGACACAGCGCTCCGCGGAAGAAACGTGTGAAGTAGCATGGCTACAATCGCCAGAAATCACCCTTTATGGAGGCAGCATATGTCCTGATGTCACTTGAGCTCACTTTGTTACCCCGTTTGTCCCTTTAATGCCATTACTGAAGATCATTACATGAGCAGATCCCCTTTGAAGAGGCAGCTGCTTGGGCTGCCCACACACCTACCTCTTTGGCCCAGAAGATATGACCTCCAGTGGTGAACACAGCTGCTTCCGAATATACTCCCTCGATCTAATATCAGCCTGGAATTAAGGAGGAAAATGAGTGAAAATGGATTGATCAGCCTGCTTGGTGCCTCCCTTTGTTATCCCAGTATGGCCCTGCACACCCTGATGTCAGTACATCATAAATAGCTCTTGTACGACTGTGTTGCAAAGAGGAATCTGCATGTTTCTCTCCTTGTTTGGTTTCTGTGCCTCACTGCAAGCTGTTTGGGAGAATGACGACTTAAAAGAAACAGAGGGTCCTGGATCGAACAGCCTTAGTGGAACACAGTCCATTTCAGAAGCAGAAATGACATTTGCTGACCCCTTGCTGTCTGCCCTTTCTCATAGGAGTAAGGAGGTGAGAAACTGGGCACAGACAGTTCCTGACAGCCGGTGCCTAAGGTCTGCTCAGCCCTGACCTACCCCAAGCACGGCAGGATGAACAGCCAACGCAGGACCCAGACCAGGCTTCCTCAGCAAATCCTGGCTGCAGCTGAATGCGATCAGCCTTCACCAAGGGTCCCTATGAGACCCAGAGGATGAACTAGCACAGGCTTCCAGCACACGCTGCAGTGCAGCGAGCCTTCTCGCAGCAAGTACTGACCCAGCTGGGATCCCTCACCTTACACCTACACTGAATGGCTACTCCTCATCGTCCAGGGATGTGACAGGCCAGCAAGGATTTCCAGAGGCTTAGTAAGAAGAGGTGTTCACTGGCAAAGGGAGAGTTGCCGAGGTGATGGGCTGCTTTTCCATTTTGCCCTATCTCTACACCAGAACTGCAATTCCCCTCTCATAACCCTGGCAGCAGAGCCTGGGAGTCTGAGAGTGATCTAGTGCTTTCATCCTTTCAACCAAGCCAAGTGACTTCTTCCACATGTGGGCACCTCGAAATGCAATGCAGGAAAACGTAACAAGCAGCTAAGCTCCTTCACAGGCCTTCCCCAGCAATAGCTCATCCCTGTCTGATGAGATGGAATAGACTTGTTAGAAAATTGAGGGTAGGGCAAGCCTTCCTTCCCTCAAGAGGAGATACTCCAAAAGTAAACCAGCTCTCCCACTGAACCAACAGAAGCTGCCCCACCACCCTCACTCTGTAAAGGGATCACATGCTGTGACCACATGCAGGTCTCCGCAGCAAAATGCTCGCAGGTAAAGATGCCCAAAACAAATGACTCCCCTTCAGCCCAGGACTCTGCCCACCTTTCTATTTCTTGGGATCTTCTTCATCCCTTTTGCTCAAAGCTATTAAAATCCTTCAGCCTACGCTGATACACAGAAGCAGTGTGTCCCCTGGCCCCCAGAAAGTTGTTGGGCGTGCCAAAACCATATGGATGTGAAGGCAGATCTCTGCAGCATTGCAAGGCAATTTAGCGTGAGGCAGTGGATTGTAGATCCCTTCTCAAAGGGCGGGGAACTACTGGAGCATTTTATTGACTTTTCCCAGAGCACCAGAATGCCCCATGGACTCTGCTGCGGTAACCTTTGCTGTGCACTCATTGAAACAGCAGCTGTGTCCCAGGACTATGCTAACCGGGACTCCCACTGGCACTGCCAGCAGGTGCAGGCTGCACTCTCCGGGCTCACAGCACTCCAAGATAGTCCATGGTCTTTATAGCTGTGACACTGTCATGTTCCCAAAGGATTAGCTTTTCTGGTCACTCATCAGCTGAGAAATGGGACTCTGCCCTCCACAGGAAACTGTAAACTGAGAAGGGGAACGAGGCTATGGAGGGGGCTGTGAAGAGTTTGGGAATATGGCAATCCAGCAGGCGAGTTCTCAACAGGACATGGGATGAAAAGAGAGAAGTTGGCATTGCCCATTCTTGTACCCATCCCCTTCCTTCCTCTGTTCCAGCAGTTGTATGATGCAGCGACAGATGGAGAAGTGCACCACTCGTCTGCTGCATATCCTTCTCCCTAGGCAAGAGCTTGGCTCATCCTGCCTATGTGCCTGATGCGCTGGCTGTGCGATGGTAATTATGCAGCTATAGCAGGTAAAAACATCCACTAAAAGCAAACAGAGACAAGACACAAGCACATCCTTGGCTCTATCGCTTCTTGGCAGCAGTGGCAAGGCAAGTGACTGACACACCTTTCACACTGTCCTACCTCATGAGTCCAAAGGCAAAGCTGCCAAGGAAGACAACAGGAGCAGTTTACATGCCAGGTCGTATCCATGCTCCGGGCTCTGCTTTCCAGTACCAAAGGAGTAATGTTGAGACTCTACCAAATTTATGGTTTACTGCCCTCCTTGTTTGAAATTGAGCTTGGAGCCATTACCAAACCTCATCAAACGCATCCTCATGCAAGTGTCCAGTTCCTCCCCTCCCCTTCTGATATGCTCTCCTGTGACATGAGCGCTCCTGAGCTCACCAGGAAAACTACGTTGTTGTGTTTTATCAGCAATGCAGGACAGCATGTGGTCAGAGCGGGACAAGGAGAACACCAATGGAAATCCCAAGAGCTACAGAAAGTGTTGCTGGACATTTACTGGATGTTCTTGCTCTCCAGAAGTGTTATTGTTTGGCTTTCCCATGCAGAAGACTCTTAGATGCTATCACAAGCACACGGACCCTGGGTTCTGGACAACTTTGAGAACTGGCAGTTGATTTTTACATTCCCTCAAAGTTTTTCTCTTTTTTCAAAACTTCCTTTCTCAAAAACACCGCTTCGCCATGACATTTTGGAACAGCTGCTGTGCCCCACCTCAAAGGCAGAGTGTCTCTCTCCACTTAAAAAGCAGTATGTGACCTTCCCAGCTGGAAAAGCTTCACAGCATATGATGATCATGCTAATAAAGTGGGTTAACGCATCCCCAGTGGCTGTCCTTGAAGCATTTGCTACTCTCACCGCTGTTCTACTTCTCCCGTACCTCAAGCAGCTCCCCACCACCCCTCCATCCCTGGCACTCCCAGTCAGACCTCTCGGGTGGAGGCTCTGCCTGCTGCCTGCTGGAAACACAGCTCCACAACTGCTTAACAATTCTGCAAGCTCGAGAATGAAAAATAGTTACATAAGGGGTGGTTTGTTTGGGAGATTTTTTTCCCTTCTCTCTATAATTGGACAGTTTCATAACTGAACTGACAAATAACTTTGATCACTCTTCAGGATAAGAGATTACGTGATGTATTTTATAACAAGGGAAGGAGGTTGTTCAATAGAGTCCCTACTGGGAGACCAAGGTAGCAAGAGTCAGATCTACAAACTATATTTCTAGGGAAGAAAAACCCCAACCCCATTCTGCTGGTAACATAAGCTAATGCTCGATTAGGTGGCAAGTTACTGGCCAGTCCTCACTCCTAACGCAGTGCGGAGAGACAGCTTAACCCAGCGTATTAACCAAGAGGCTAATCAATAAGATGGATAACTGTCCTGTAATAATCCTTACAGATTGTTTCTATTTTCAGAGGGGACTAGTGCTGGCATTAGGGTCTGGAGTTGTTGCTTTCCCTATTTTATGAGGGGCAGTGGTGATCCCTGTGTACACAGCAAGCTTGCAGTGGGGGCTACATCTGAAGGGAGTTAGAGTTTCAGGATATCAGCTACTGATTTCCCTGCTAGGCAGCAGGAGCTATTCACACAGAGGAGAGGGATGATGGCTTATTTCTCAGTTCTCCTAAGGGCAAGCGTTTAATATTTCACATGAAGCGACCTCAGAAATTCACAGCCCTGGGCAGGCCTACTTCTGTCCTTCTCGGTGGGCTGGAGCAACATCAGGCTGTCCCATCAGCCGCATCCCGAGCCAGCAGGAACCACCTGGGCAAGGTGCCAGCTGGAGCTAACGGGATCATCAAGTGAGCTGGAGGCTGGTGTGCAGCCAACCAGGAACCTGAAACAGCGAGAGCGGTAGAATCAGTCCCAGTGCAATCCCTGTCAGCCAGAGATGTTTCTCCGCTGTGCATGGGGATCCTGGGTCTGAGCAGGCTTGGAGCAGGGGCAAACACGGGAGAGGGGTTCTGACCTCTGCCAGAAGCAGGGAAGGGCAGTTGCTCTCAGGAGGGCTTGGTATTGTTCCAGTGCTGCTCAGTCTGAATGCTTTGCTTATTTTTCTGGGATGACAGCTCCTGCCTACCTCAATCCCCATCTGGGTAGCTCCAAATGACCAAATCTCTGCAGAAGAGCCTCAAAATCTCACAAGCTGGCTGGGCAGAGAGATTGCCTCCATGCAAGCAAAATTCCCCCAGATCAGCCTTGCGTTTACACGTGGAATAAGGACTAAGTGGGATGTAAATACTGATTGTAGGTGATCATGAACTTCCCTCTGCTTTCTCTGAAAGATCGCTTTTCTCACCTGCATCACAGCCACAGTTCCTTTGGCAGCACGACTACGTTGTGGGCTGAATGCAAATCAAACCGTTTCTGCTCACTGCCTACTGTTGCATGCCCAAGAAGCACAGCACACCCGATACAGACCGGCCAGCCATACCTCTAGGAAAGCAGACGGTTTAAGTTCCCACAACGACTGCACAGCACTACACATGCTGCGGCATAGTACTGCCTTCACACAGACCATTAACACAGCCTCAAGAAGGTACGGGCAGCTGAGCTCTCTTTAGGGCGTTATACTTCTAGGGCTACCAGAACGTACAAACTAAGAGCTAATGATCCAGAAGTCTTTCACAACACTGGGAAAGCCGTAAGCACATCACCCATCAGGTCTGCAAGCTTGTACTGGGGAGGTATCATAGCAAAAAGGCCAAATCAGTCATCCACCGCAGGCCTGCCCGCAGCCTTCTACTTCCTAACTCCAGCTTTAGGTGCTCACGAGCTGAGGCTTCCAGCACTGCCCTGTGTCAAGACCTGTGGCAGTTACCATACAGAGGAACTGTGACAGGGAGAAGTCCCATGGAAAGGTTTAAGTGTCCTTATCTCCTGCCATCCCTCTATCTCTACAGCAAACACACTCCCTTTTGGATTTTTAATCTCTCTGTAAGAAAAGTGACAACAATTCGTTCCATCGCTTTACATAAAGGTCGCAGTTAGAGAACAGGAAGAGTCTCAGAACATAGATAAATACTGGAGATAGCTGGAAATGAAATGAGGGTGATGGAAAGCTCCAAGACACCTTTTTGTTTCCAAAGGGAATGCTTTTCCCCTTTCCTCTGAACACGCCGAACTGCAGAGCTAGCTCAGAGCTCTGCGGAGGCATCTGGCCCTTGCTGGAAGAGATTACATAAGAAGATCTATCAGCCTACTCCCGTCTGGCAGGTAGTGGTTTATGAGACCAGAAACTCCAGTTCTGGTATGGACACTTCAAGGTTTGTTTTGCTCTAAGGTGTTAGATTTTTGTCTGGTTTATAACTATAGACTCAAGACTCTGTTTTCAGAAAACACTGCAGTACCAATGAGAAGCTCCTGTGTGCAGAGACTGCGTAACAGCCCTCAGCAGGATCACCTTAGTGCTGCTCTGAGGAGCTGCAGAGCAAAGGTGGCCAGACACCTGACAAGCACGGCGGTGCAGCAATGCGAACGGCGTGTTCCAGGGCAACGTTACAAACGCGGCCATCTGAACGGGCCCCGCTCCCCGGGCAGTCGCTGGGTCTGGCCTGCCTGAGCCACTAACAGCAGGGTGACCCTGAGAGAAGGGAAGCACTTGTCAGGCTAGAAGTCCCAGAGGCTTTACACTTCTCCAGACCCTTTCCTCAAGCCCTGCTGCGATTTAATTAGTCTGAAGCTGCCTTGGTGGCAGCTGCGGCTCACTGATGGTGATCCAGTGCTGTCACCTACTGGCTGGCTGCCGCCCCAGAGCCTGCAGCTCCTTGCGGAGTGCAGTAGCAGGGAAAAGCCCAGAGGAGCAGCACTGCGGTCTGTGCTAGGCTCAAAGTGCCCAGGAAAACTGCATTTCCAGCTCCTGTGTATTAACATCAACATCACAGAAGATGCCTGCAGAGAGGAACCAAGAAATCAGTCAGGCTGGGTCTGCAGTAAGGGCCGTGTGTGCTTCCAGGCACTGCGTCAGAAGAACAAGCAAGGAAGAAGGAAGGATCAGTTAACTACCACGTAAACAACACCACAACAGGCTGGGGAAGAACAGGCCAGCATGAAGGGTGCCAGCTGCAGAACTGCCCGTTGCAGACGGGTGGCAAACTGAGGTCTGAAACGTCGCCATAGGCTTGGCATCCACAGCCCCCTCCACTGCCTGCTTGCCTGCTTCCCTACTCCAGGCCTGCCGTCCCCTTCCTTAGCTCCCCTGCTTTTGTACCTGACGGATGGGCTCCGGGATCCGGTACCTGCAGCAGGACTTGACTAGACGCACGGCTGTTTCCAGGCACACCCTGTGACCCACAGAGATATAAAGTGGCTTAGAGCTGTTGTTGTAGCTACGCAGGACCTGTGCATTCAGAAACAAGAAAGACCAAATACTCAAGAGGCTATTTTAACAGAGTGGCAGATGAATTATAAGCTAGCCAGTTGCCTTCAGAAGGTGGGATTGTGGCTCTGCATTTGGTAACTCTCAGCCTTCTTGATCCTCTACTTCTCAGTATCTCCTCAAAGGGACTGTTTGCCCTTTTGGACCCCTGTGGCCCTTCCCCAAATGCCTCACACACTCTGGGAAGCAGTGAGACTTGCTAATGCAGACTATGTTGAAATAACACCAGACACAGGAAGTTTCTTACATCTGCCCGTTTCCTGTGCAGTGCTCTTCTGAGTCAGATATTTCATCCTGGTAATCCATATTTCATCCTGGTAAGCTGCTACAGAATTGGCACCTCTCCATGACTGTGGTTCATGAATGGGGTGCTGGAGCATAGGACCTCAGATGCCATAGCCATGGACGTGAATATATCCAACACCTGAACTGTCAACTCTTTCTACAAATGTTTGAGCTCACAGGAAGGGGAACGCAGTGTTACTTGTCACCTGTTGACACCGTGTCTCCCTGAACTAGTATCATGGAGGCAGTCCCACTATAGAGAACATCCTCCAGTGCTTCCAGTTACACAAAGCTGGAAGACTTGACGGCCAAATGAATAGGAAGCTCCCCGCAGCTTACCATGCCCAGGACTCTCCCCGAAGTGCCTGTCAGTGGGAACGTATCTCCTTCCTTTTGCAGGGAACGAATCTAGGGATAAACATACACAAGGTCAGTTGGTTAGAAAGCACTTGTATGCGGCTGTCCCAGTTCTCTTGGGATATTAAAGAGTGGAAATAAATTCCCAGCCTGGCCTAACCTGCTCTTTGTGCAGCTCATCCCTGACCAAGCCATCCACCTGCAGGAGGTTCTTGGCCACTCCAATGCATGGTAGATCCGTCAGGACTCCGAGGTGACAGGCCACACCAAATCCTGCCAACAACGAGTCACTGTAACTGCAGGACACCAGAGAACAGGAATCTCAAACAGCAGCACGGGGACCCTGGAGAACAGGGCTCTCCAATAAAGTCCTACCTCTGTGATGGAGCAGGCCATTCCCATCTACAAGAAGTACCTGAAAAAGCCGAAAAAGAAATGTTATTTCCTGTGCACTAAGAGCCACTCCAATAAGCAATGACACTGGCCCTGTGAGGAAGGAAAAAGACTCTCTCAGTTCTTTTACTTGTCTCTATAAGGGTCTTCCTGCAGTGCTGTCTACACCTGACTCTAGATGATCAGCAGCATGAGCTCTTAGTGGCTGGCAACACTCTTCACTGGTGCTGCGCAGAGAATGGGACTCCCATTGCCAAGGGAGGCCTGGCTGTTCTTGACTTAGCATCCCTGGTCCCTAAGGAAAGGGCAATAAATGCTTCAATACAACTCTTGACGCTGCTCTTTCTGCCCTGCCAGCGGGAAACAGCCAGACAGCGTGGTCTCAGGAGAGGGAAGAACACCTTTCGGCAGTACTCTGCACCCTCATGACTTCTCAACTCGGGACAAAGAAATATGCCACACCTGAGGTTTGAGCCTGGGCTCCTCCT